GCGTAAAAGACCGAGTAGTAGTGGCGGCGTACGTACGGCAGCGACGTGATGCCGATCACAAGCATGCACGACATGGACAGGATGCCGAAAAAGTACTCCCAGTTGGCAAGGCCGTCCGTCGCCATGTCGCACGTCACACACGGAAGCAGCTTCGAGAGTTTCCCCACGGTAGCGTAGTACACCACGAAGCAAATCGTGTGGGCGAGAAATGTGACGATCGTGGCCACGGAGATCCAGTTGTGGTACTTGACGCCGTGCGCATACGGAATGCCAAGCCATTCCATCCAGAACGAGTGCCGCGTGGCTGGCAGGGCAATCAGCACCTACGAGGCGAGGCGTCAGCAGAAAGCTACAAGTGGGGCCGCACCATGTCGAACAGGCCCGTGAAGCCCAGGGCTGTCCCGACGTTTTTGATCGTGTCGGCTGTCGCGTTGGTCGGTTTGTACCGTTTCATGAACTGGTAGTAGAACACGACGACGTTCAGCGCGGTGACAACAATGACAAACCCGATCTCGCCGTTCGAGATCAGCGAGTTGAACAGCTTGGGCTTCCGATGCAAGAACTGCGACAGTCGTCCCACCGGTGCTCTTTTGTGCAAAAAGGCGTGGAGAAGACCGGCGACTACAATCGGCAACACCGTCCCAAGGAAAAAGTATGTAGGCACGACCATTTCCGAGTGCCCAGAGCCTTTGACTTTGGCATTTACGCCCCACCAACCCGACAACGTTGTGGACGCGTTTGTGCCGTACCACGGCAAGCTGTACGCCATGGGGGCGAGCACCGCCAGGACTAATAAACCACCAATGAAACCATGGCCAAGTGCGCCAAAGGCTCGAGTTGCGGGGGAAGACGGCGAGCCACGAAGGGGTGCCAGACTTTCTTGAAGGGAATCGTCCATCGTCGCAAACGCCCCGACCGAGTCGTGGAGGCCTTGCTTGGGGGTATCTGCCGCGCGGTAGTGCTCCGCTTCGGTCATGGTGGTCTTGCGGGGTGAAAGCACAAGTGAGTGAAATCTTTCGCTACATTCCCAAGTTTCACAGGACGGTCTTCTTCAAGTCGTGCGCTGAACCCTGTCAGCACAAGGATCGTTGCGTTACCACGAACGAGGAGAGAATTTCAAGTCGTTTGTCGCGCCCAGCCACTCAAATCTTGATCCATCCTCCATCATCGGGTGATGCGATTCGATCTTGAGCTGAACCGACTTGGACTCGATCCAATGGCGTTTTGGCCGCCTTTTTATTGGTTCGAGACGACACGTTATGTCCACGAGAGTGCCAATCAACACATGAGCGCAATGTGATTGGAGCTGTCCACCCGACCACAGCGCCCACTGTGTGGCAAGCCGCTTGGCCCACCTTGATTCAAGTTTGCCTGGTCTTCATGAATGGATGGTCAAAACGGTCGAGACTTTTTTCGCTCGTCCCCGCATCCGTGAAGTCTCTCATCCAATACCGTATCGATCCCCCCCTTGAGATCCCGACTTCAAGGGCGGCGAACAAGGCCGGACCTTGGTCGAAATCCGACCAAAGCTATAAGTATGTTGCATTCGTACTCGGATGGTCAACGTAAATTTCGAATATTGGCCGCAACGGACCTAGCAAGGAAGTAAACTTGTAGCATGGCCTTCCGCGTGGGGGGTTTCCTATCAAAGAGTAATCCAGATTCATTTCACCCGTCGTACTGCTCGCGCTCGTCCGCCCTGGGCGGAGACACCTGCACCGTGCAATATCTGTGAAGTAAATACTCGTTGAGAAGGACATTTCAGTTCCGACACCTCTAGAAAGTAATAGATTTTTATCCCGACGAATCTGTTCCTTGGACCGTTCGTTGGAGACGGAACGATCGATTCCTTGAAAATGTATGCCATGTGAGGTTTTATAGGGTATTTGTTTTGAGAGTAATCCTGCACGTAATACTTCGAAGTATATTCGTTGCCACGCAGGCCAGACATGAGGGGCTTTCAAGTGCCTTGGAGACGACGACCAGTGTCGAAGTGTGGCGACACGAAGAACGCCAACGAAGTTCATGTGCATCTACATATCTTACCAGAAGAAGCAAAAAGGCATCGAATGCGTTGACAGGATTGGGATACAAGCACCTTTCGACGCGCACTTCGTCCACTTGATCGGGCCGGAGACAGCGCGAGGTGCATGCATGGTCCACTGAGGTTTGGTCAGACCATTTAACCCAGTGCCATGTTGAGTTGTCTTTTTAATGGCAGCCGCGTCGAAGAGGTGGTTGACGAAGAAGATGACTCTGTCGGTGAAGGAGACGACTTTGTACGAAAACAACGCGGTCCACGAAGAAACGATGGTAGACCTAGTTTCAAGCTCCTCCATGGACGAAACCATCGATCGATTCAGACGACGACATGCAGCTCAATCGATTTAGTGGATTGAATTATTGCCACGGTAGTACTTCCCTCTTTGTATGGGGATTTTTTGTACTTCAACTCAATTCTTCGAAACTTGATACATATTTAGATTTGAATTGCAGGTCCGAACGCCAGCGGAACGTGCATCTCACCTCTGTGCAAATCCTCGTTCGTCCGGCTTCCTTACGGTGCACCGGCAGTCACCTAGAAGCACTACACAGCCTTTTTCACACTCATCGGAAGCAATCTTTGGCACTTGTGTGAATGGCCATTCTTCGCATGTCGTTCGTCGGCGTCGACGAAAGCCGCTGCCCTTGACAACTAGATTCCGTAGGAACGCGTGAGCCACCTTCCACAGCAAAAATCGACCCGACGGGACCCCAAAGCTTGGTTAACAACATATTATTCCTGTTTACTGATCTGAATTCGATGCAAGGACGGGAGGTTGTCGCGCGAAACAGGTGGAGCCAAAAGGTGGAGCCGCATCGATCCACGTACTCGTTTCGAGCGCAGAGCAGACTGCGAGAGCAAGAGTAGAGGGTCTATAGTGTCCCCCTCGTCCTGCGAAGCCTCGCTTCCATCGATGCATGTGTTGATTGGATGCTTCCTGTGGCAGCATTGGACGAGTTTCACTTGCCTTGGTACAAGACAACAATCTTCTCCACGGCAATTGTGAAATGGGGAGGCGACCTGGATATGAAGAACAGTGGCCACAACGAAATGGTGCAGCGAACTCCTCTGTCTGAGCGACGTTTCCGTTCATGCAAGTGCGGGCACCGGCGGTGGCGAAGCCGTTGTGCTCGCCAAGGCCAAAGATGGCGGCGCTGACGACGGTCATCATAAGAAGTGAGACTCATCCTCGCGCGCTACACCAACATCGACAAGCTCGACGATGCTGCCATGCTGGGACTGCAACGGCGTCCTCAAATACTCATTGGTAGCCCTTCGCAGATTTACCAAGACTCTTGCTATCGTAGTCGTCCGTGATCACCCCAGCAGCCCACCGCCCCGTCGTATTCCATGAGGGTGGCACGTTCATGTTTGGAATAGTTTTGACGCGAATTCTAACCAGACATTTTACTTTGTGGTTCGTGCAGCAGTCCAGTCAGAGGGGTTGATGCAGTACCACGAGTGGATCCGGGACATCGAAGTACTGGCCGTGAATTCGTCACGGCCGCAAGCGATCCGCTCGCAGTATTCAAAGGATCCGATGACCTCAACAGCGTCGACCTTGCTTTGGAGTGCGAGCAAAGCTGTAGCACTCACCCCCTTTGCCTCATTGAGACTCAAACGTGGATGTTCGTGGTCGCGTACGATTGCAGCGGGGGGTTGGTGGCGCTGGCTGTGCATGGGGACGCGATTCAAACTCCCCAAACAAGCTCATCCTCTTCGAGTACCACACCCACCTCTTCAGGTCCACACCATTCAAAGTTTGGTCTGGGCATCGTAATCAGCGCGACGGTGGCATCTTGGTTGCTAAACTAGAATCGGACACTACTTTCTCGGTTCGTCAAAGCCTTGCTTTGTGACATTCATCGTGTTGTGTACCGACGACAAACAGAACGCCAACATTTGGCCGGCAAGAGCAATTCAATACGGACTCTGCGTTTCTACAAGTCCAAGCTCGAAGCAACAATTATTCGGTGGTCTTGGGGTGCAATCCACTTGCTTTCGAGTTTCCATTGATGCCTCACACAAACAGACTGTTGGACGGACATTCCATCGACCTCAGGAGCTACATGCGCAGGGTGTGCAAAAGTGACTTCTTACAAAGATAAACACGACATGTGGGCTCACGTCGTGCTCATGTTGGAAGCGGCAAGGCACCTCCGTGGACAAGAGAACGCTGGAGAGCGCAACGCGACATCATTATTGAAACGTGTGGACTCTATATTGAATGAAATCGTAAGGACTCAGCGCTCTCTACATTTCAAAATCTTCGTGATGCACTGGAAATTTGCCATGACCGAGTTTATCCACGGCGCGCACCAAACTCTTGGGGCCGCATACGTACACGGCGAATGAGCCGGCAGCATGTGCTTGAATGGTTTGGAAGGTCTGAGCCAAGTCTGCGCGACCCGTCTGTACTTGGAAATGCTCGGTCACGTCATCGGCACGCATCGCTTTCTCGGCATGGCGTCCGCCATCGTCAGCAATTGCAACGCCGATGGGGGTTTTCGGGAGTCGCACGACAAAGTACGCGAGGTAGCACCCGACAACGACCGCGAAAAACTGAACTGTACGAAGAACAATCCACCGGGCCGAGGAAAACGTTGCGAGGACATAGCCATGGGTGGCTACGGCAACAAGGGCGCAGCTAAAGGCAAAGCAGAGCACCAGAATCAAGACACGCTTGAGCGTGTTTGCGTGGGTGTACGGTTTTGGCTCCATGTGGACTTGATGGATGTCGAAGGAGCGAGGAAGGCTATCCTCCTGCCCGGAAAACTTTTTGGTTTGGTTGCCGTTCTTGTCATCGTAAAAGTCGAATTCTGTCGCATCTTCTTGAGTGACGTACAGCTGTATGTTTAAGCGATCTCCACCTAGGGCTTTGATGCGGTGCAGCCAGGATTGGAAGCACACAAGCATGTCCTTGTG